ATAATATTTTACCATAGCCTCCTAAATTATTTTTCTACACAAAGAAAAGAAAATAGAAATTGCAATCAATGTAGAAATTGCCTCTTTGTTGTATCTTTAAAAAATAAAAAAGATTATCACTGGTGGTTTCCATAGCCTTCTGAATTAGACAAGGCCATGTGGTTTCAAAATTTCTCCAACTCCAAATTCTCTGTAACTTTTGAATCAATAGTCCGATCGGGATGAGATTAAGTGTGTGTTTATTACTCGTCAATGCGAACAATATGAACTATTTAATGACCAATAATATATATTTGTTAATATACATCTGGGTCAACTTTATATCTGAACTGATTTTCTCTAATACAACTAAAAAAGTAATACATCAAAAACAATATATAAGGAATTAAGGATACACTGTGATGGGTGTGGGGTATATTTTCAAATTTGCATAGTAGACAAGCTCGAAGATTGAACATAAAAGAAATCATTGACCAATGAAAAGCGCGTTTAAAAAATGTGATTCTACCAGAAATCAGGTTTCTTCCGACGGCTCGTAAATTTAGCAGAGACCCTAATCCAGAGGACCATGTAATTTTCGTGTTTTTGTGTTCAGCTCTGGATTGATAGTTCTACCAAACGTGTATTTTAAATATTGTATTGTCGTTTCCACCTATTCTGGCGAAGCGTCAACCCATGCTAGGCCTCGATCTTAAAATAAATAATTTAAATAAAACAATTTAATTGGTCAAAAAGGACAAAATTTACAGTTAAAACAATCGAATAGATCATTAAATAATTCAAGTAATATCAATGAAAGTCTATGAATACTGGTATGAAATTTCAAATTTTTAGCGTAAAATTGGTGATTATGAGAAAATAGATAGAAAGAGATTGGCTGAATATGTATCGTTGAACCAATAGAATAAGAAACCCTAAAAACCCCAAAATTGTCCATTTTGCGCAATGCACCTCCACGAAACAAACAATCCACGAAACTGTCCTAAATAAAATAAATGTGGTGGGGTGAGAAAACTGGTACCTGCATATGTTTTTTCCTTTTTTTTAAGAACAAAGTATGTTTATGCGGACTGTTGTCTGGAATGTTTTGATCCAGCTTCTAATAATAAAGTAAAAGGTACTGGATGTTTATGAAAATTGGTTGGGAGGTGTTATGATTCTGAAGAGATATTGTTACTCGATACCGCAAAATTGACTCCTGAAACCTATAAATAGTTGTGGCGATCTTTTGCTCATATCATTTAAAATTATAGCTCTGTGACTGTAGTGAGAGTAGTCTGTAACTCTGTATGCCGTATTTATCAGGATTACTATTTTTTTCCAGGCCTGAAACAGTGAAAAGCGACTCTTATGTTCTTTTTTCACAATATGTGAGACTTTCATTATTTCATAGCCTCGCGGGCCAACCTCATTACATTTCCCGTTATAAGCGTTTACGCTCAAAGTTTATCTTAAATATAGTCCTAGGGGTTTACAAAAAGGTACATTTTTTGAGGCGGCCTATCTGTCACGAGTTGTCCTATTTTTCACTTTGTTTCAGTTGTAAATAGTTTCAAATCGCCTTCACATTAAAAAAGGTCAATTTCTCAGGTGCAAATTTGGAAGAAAAAAATCATTGTCGATTTGCCCCCGATATACTTAAAAACGCTTAAAAAACAAACCTTTTTGCGTTTACATTTTTAAAGTTTATCGCAATAGGCCAAAACATATTGACTGCGAAAGAGACTCAGAATTTTCGACATTCGATAGCGTATTTATTTGACTAATGTTTTGTTCTTTTATAAAATAATAATATTAAATATAATATACAAAACGATAAAAAAAAAGTATTTAAAAAAGGAAATAGACTTTCAGTTTCTCAAATTCTCGAGACTCCATCACAAGAAGAGGGAAGACTGGAGACTGGAGAGTGGAGAGTGGAGAGTGGAGAGTGGAGACTAGAGACTCTGGTGAAAATTGGAATCTATTTTGATGCACAATTGTTTTTCGAAATAGGTTCTCAAGACTGTTCAGTGTTCACTGTATGTCTGTATTTTAAAACTGTGTCTGTACTCTGTAGTCTGTTAAAGTCTGTACTCTGTATGTATGTATAAATATACACAAATACGTACTGTACATATTTACATAAATTCAGATGTACACTGCTATTTAATAAAAAGACGTATAAAAACGAACCTATTTGCAGTTAAATGCATTCAACGTTTATCCTAAATTATGATCCTTCCGTACACTTTTTGAGGCGCTCTAACAGTTGTCACGAATAGTCCTGTTTATTGCCTGCCAATAAGTTGAACCACTCAAAAAAAAGTTCTGTGACTGTTAATTTCACTACCACGATATTTATTTATGTTCATGTAATTCACATACATCAGGAACTCTGAAATTGTAACTGTATGAAAGCCTTCAGAGAGGATATAAATGGAAGCAGTTCATAGACTATTTTTTTAAGTTGGAAGAGACTAAAGTGCCTCATTCCATCACAGAAGCAACCATCATCGTATACTTCGTCAACTAAGTCACCATGAGTCGCAAATCGGACCCTATACGTCGGGTATATATACATGCGCACAGCACATACACAAACATACTCATGCACACACAATGTGTATACACCCACACCCACACCCATCCACATGTACAAATGCACAGACACATACCCACATATAACTACACATATAACACTCACACACGTATGCACACATACGCATACACACACTTGCACACACACGCACACACACATACATACATCCATACATACACACATACACATGCACATATGTGCACATACCCACACGCAATCACACGCACACGCCCATGCATTGAGGTGAAGGTTAGTTGTGTTAGATTAGATATAGATATGGTAGTTTGAGCTATGATTTATCTGTTTATGAGACTGTGAATACATTCAGATCGCCTTTTCATTGGATGTCACGCGTTTCATGGTCCTATTTTCAATTCGTATATATATTTACAATCACAAATTCACAACAGGTCAATCAACGAAAGGTCATTTGTATAGTTGCAAATTTTAGATAATGTTCATCGGATTTGCCCTCGCTATATTCTTTTTTTTAAACGTACAAAAATAAAACCTTTTTTAGGATTTAACGTTCAACGGTTATCTCTTTTATTGGTATATTTTTTAGAACAAACCCCAAATAAAATAACTGTGCAGGGTCCATACCGCGAACGCCGTACGGTTGCTACAAGGCGGTTCGGATGTGCTACTTTGTTTTAGGCTCCCCCCCCTTGGTTTTTTGGACTTTTGGTGCATTTATCAATTTTAAATCTGTAGTACATATATGACTTTTTCTGGGCCCTGTGACAGCCTAAATTTGTTTCAAGTTATGTCATCAGTTTCGTGGACAGTAAAAATATTTATTTTGCCGGCCCTATATACAACAAGCAGACTGGAGACTCACAGAGTGTAGAGTGAGTGTAGACATCAATTTAATGTAAAAACAAACATCTATATTTGTATCTTGCTTGCACAGCCCTATATACAATTCGTTTGTTCTAGACTATCAGCATTATTAAATCACCTATCCGGGAAAAGGAAGAGTTCGCAAGCTTTTACGGTGTAACCGTGTGTACAACAATTTCTTTTGCAATCGACGGTGTTGAGGCTTCTGAGCTGGCCGCTGATGTAGTCATGGATACTGTATACCTGCGGATGTCTTGTGGATGTTGTTGTATTGCAGACTAGTAGTATCATGGTAATTCACTATTTAGATATCAGACTGAAGTATATTTTCTAGACTTTCTGTCATTGAATTGTCACAAACACGATTCAGTTTCCAATGGATGTTTATTGGTTGTCTATCAGTTCGGCGGGATTTTCCTCCACACAATGGCGAGTGATTTACTGCCAATTTATGTACTATAATATGTATCGTATTGTAGTACAAGTAGGAGAAACCCAATACAGATACTCTACACTGGATAATGTAGACTGTTGAAGTAGACAGTATTTACACTGTACAGTGTATTTAACTATTTTTTTATTGTTTATTTGTTTTTCTCTATAAAATATTTATCCTAGTTCTAATTTATTTAAAAAATTACAATGCCTGTTGTTTTAAAGATTGTTCAATTGAAATTACTCTTGGAGGTTCATGACAATATGTACTAAATATGTACATATACAAAATACACTGAATTTGTTGGGCTATTTGTTGACAAACCCAAAAGACAAAACCAAAAACGGAGAATATGACAATATGTATTTTCTTGAAACAAACAAAATGAATTTTCACATAGCCTTCTTGCATAGCCTTCTGAAAATTGAACACTTGTTGTTGATAGACATTTTCAGAACAAAGGACATAACTGCAACTCTAGTCTCATTTTAAAAATACAGCCTCTTCTTGTGTTGGGGGCTAAAATGAATACATTAACTCTTGAGGCTTGAGCAGTTGAGTCCTCCTGGAGTCCTGGAGGACCTGGACCTGGACGGCTTGTCCGCTGGATCAGAATATACAGTATTCTTTTTCTCACTCGCACTCTAGTGGAGTAAATAGAGAGGGTGTTTGTTTTTCAAGAAACACCCTGAAAGCAAACGAATGATAAATAACTCCCTGAGGGTTTTTTAAACAAATGTTTTTTATATCAGTTAAAGTCAAAAGTGCTTTCCAAAAAACCTATCATAGGGATAATAATATTTTTTTCAAAAATGGCAAGTATGTTTGATCCACCATAGGAACCGCGGAGAAAGTATAAATCAGAATATTAAGATTTTTGTATCTCTTTTTATTAAAAAAACAAAAAAAAATGGATGGGACTCTCTGTTTGTGTAGTAAATTTTCATCACCTTTCTCTCTCGAGAGAGAGGGGTCGTAAATATATATACATATATACAACTCTTCGTTTCTTCGAGACACTGCCACTCTGCGATCTGCATCTGATGAATACCGAAGTCCGCAGTTTCACATTTTTTTTTGCTATGAAAGGAATGGTTTCCAATTGTTGACCGCCATAACTCATTTATTGTTGCGCTATATATTGCCTATTATCCACTCCATAACCGTGACGATCACAATTGGGAATGAAAATTGAGCTAGGGCTGCAATGGAGAGAAGCGCGTATCGTACAGAGGAGGCTATCGACAGTTCATTATGTGCCGTTTGCGGAGATCTCGCCCGAGTGATGTGCCCCTGCTTGCAGCGTCATTTCTGCACGCTTGACTGCCAGGTATAATAATGTAATTGATGGAAAGAAATCTTTCAAATCGTGTATATCCAGCGGTGTATTTTTTTTCGGGATTATGGGGTCCTTGAACTCGTATGCACATAGTATCATTTTCTCATATGGTCCACCTCTATATACTAGAACGCGGATTGGAGCAAAGGTGGTCATCACCTTGTGTGCAAGTTTGACAAAGAACCGCATATGTGGAAGGCTGCAACACAGCCGGAAGTTCAGCTGTCACCCAACGTAAAGATTTCTAACGAAGCTCCGCAAGCATCTAACTGGAGGGTGCTTGGTATTTGCGAGCTGTTGAATATCTCGGCTGGAGCGGCCTTTTTAACAGACGAATCGAAAAGGAGAGATTTCGAGGGCGAAGTTCGTTATTCTCCAGTGTCCGGGGCCTCAAGATCAAGCTCAAACAGGGTAATCAATGCTCACTACCAAGATCCAGCGTACATCGCCCAAGAAGACACACACATGAGTGTCTCGCCGTCACGTTCGATAGTTGAACGGAAACGTTCACACCCAGATGAACTACAAATTTATCGAAGGTCTACTCATCCTTTCGCAGATACGCAACGTAGTATACGCCAAGAAACTTCACTGCCTAACTACCGCACAACAGTGCGCAACGAACATGAACACGACCACTCCAGATACAACGGTTATCTGCAGCCAACACCGGATTTTATAAAACCAAATCATGCGCCGACACGCAGAACTGAGATCGAGGCTAAGTATGTTGATGAGGCTAACAACCACCACGAGGTCGACAGCCACCTGGAACAGAGACCAGAGCCCAAGAGACAATATGCTAGTGCTAGAATAGGGCCCCAAATGCCGATATTTGTTTCGCAGAACAAACCAGGCCTAGTTAGGATGAATCTCGCATCCAATAACTTCGGCTTTCGAGGGCAGAACCACTACAAACATGCAAGGCACCTATCGAGCGATGTTGCCAGTAACCATAAACCAGTGACAGAGCCGACATCGAAAGTAAGGGCATGCACATGGGAGGGTTGTAATCGAACCTTCACAAGGTCAGATCATTTCACGAGGCACTTGAACACGCATACCGGTCATAGGCCGTTCACTTGTGCGTGGGATGGGTGTGGAAAAAGTTTCGGTCAAGCCAACAATTTGACTCGGCATTTGAAAACTCACAAAAAGGAGAAATTGTACTCTTGTTCTTGGGAAGGATGCGCGAAAACTTTCAGTGAGGCTAATAATCTTGCCAACCATTTCCGACAGCACTCTGATGCTGGACCTCATATGTGTAGTTGGGATGATTGTACGAAAACCTTTGCCGATCCCGGCTACATGGCTGCGCACGAACGTAAACACTCTCGAACAGAAGTGTTTCGTTGCACTGACGAAAGTTGCGAAAGGTCATTTTCCACGCGCAATTATCTCAAAAGTCACTTGCGAACGCACACGATCGAGAAACCCTTTGCATGTACTCGATGCTTCAAGCGCTTCAATCAGTCTAGTATTTTGAGTCGTCATGTTCGAACGCACGAACTGGAACAAGCTACTCATTCTTCTTGAAAATTAATTAAACACTTCAAACGAGTTCTAAATACATGGCTAAATACATCAAAATCATAGCCTTCTAAATTAGACACATTCAGAAAGCTATGAATTGTTTTAGAAATAAAACCGGACGTATAAATTGTGGGTCCACAGTCCTGGCTGTTATTCATGATGTTTCATTTTATATTTATTTAATTTTTATTTTCATTAAAAATAAATAAATAATATCTGGTTCAGATTATCCAGAAGAACTAAGTCAGGTCACTCAGGTGTGTTCTCAACAATATGTTTCGTGTAGGCTCTTGCTGTGACTTTCGAGGTTTCACTTGGACCAGAGTCTAGTAGCGCGTTTATGAACTGAAAATAGAAATGAAGAAATGTAACACTTCTCTACGAATCCAAACATAGTGGTTATTATTCTCTCCAAGTGCGATATGGTTATTGAGCAGTGTTAAAAACGGATCAGAAGCCAAACAAGATTATATAGTTTTCAACCAACGACCCAGTCTTAACCTGGGCTTCTTAACAATTTATGCACACACGTGTACGTGTACACACAAACACACACACACACACACACACACACACACACACACACACACACACATACATACATACACACAACAACACATGCACACACACACATACATACACACACACACACACTATATATATATATATGTATATATATATATATATATATATATATATATATATATATACTTATACTA